TGCTCCCCAAGGATCTAGCCATGGCAGCTAAGTGGGTGCACGCCCAGCCTTTCCTGCATCAGGTAGCAGAACCTGGCTGAATCCAGGTTGCAACCACTGCTGATAACATGGTTCTTGGAAAAGCCACTTATCTTCCAAGCTACATAGATCAAGATAACCACTGGGTTGGTCACAACAGGTAACTTGCAGTTGGGACTGCACTTTGAAACATTAGGAATGATGAACTTGGAGATGTTCACATTACGCTGCACCAAATCAAGACAGCTCTCTCCCTCTTGCTGACATGCTCCAGCAGTGAGAATAACCAGCTTGGAGTCTGAAGTTACATTATAGTCTTTGCCAGAGACAATTTTTGGGGTCCTAAGGAAAAGGCTGCTGTGTTGGAGATCCATCATCTCTTCCTTCAGTTTGTCTTCTGTGACATCAAGAAGAGCAAGCTCATCTGCCAAGTCCTTCATTAAGATACTGATGGCACAGGCCATGCCAACAGCACCAACCCCGACAACCGTGATCTTATTCTGGGGCACCTGTTCCTCCTTAAGAAGATTCACAATCAGCTGATCTTTGAGACTGGCCATCTTGGACTTAAAACCAAAAGGAACCAGGAATGCACATGGGGCAGGTGTCAGGGTGTGCGCTTTTCTCTTATCACTTTGTTTAGTGAAATCTTGTATCATTTTTAATGTTGTTTTTTCCTTATATCTCTATTTTCTACTCTTTAAAAATAAAAAAATGTGTGCAAAATAAAATAAATAAATAAATAAAATGCAATGTTAATATCTACATGGCCAACATATGTAAGTTCCTTAGCTTTCTCTAAAAGAACACATATTTTAGGTAAAGATGTGGTTCTCTCATTCAATAAATGTGAACAACTTAAGCTTATTGCCACTGTTTAAACAACCTGTGCTTATTTTTTAATGTATTCCACCTGAATAAAGCTTCATTTAGTCATCTATGTCCCCCTGGAAGTTTAAAAAAAGTACTGCCAACTTTTTTTCCTGGGCTAAATTATTTAATGCTCTAACATCTGTTTATAGATATTTTGCTCAAAGGTTTGTAAAAGATTTTTTGAAATTAGCCTTAAAGGAAAGAAAACTTATTGCATTTCACGTAAGCATATATCTCTATTGTCCATCTCTCCGTATATCCATCTATAGAGAATGATGATGATATAAGAAAAATCTGTTGATATTTGCTACATTTCATTTCATGAATGAGGACAGTCTTTATCACACACACAATTCTGATTTTCAGGCTTAAAGATCCTTTCAAATACCTTACATTTACACCTTTACTTATACCATGGTATTTCTAATCTTCGAAACGCAGTACGATGGGAGGAGCCTGTTTACACATCTTAAAATAGTATATAAGTTCATAGTTGACCTACATAGACATCCTCCTCTGGAATGTTGTTTAGCATATATAAATCTTTAAAATAATTGAAAATAGTCTAAACTGAAGCAGAATCATGATAAATAAATACAAATAATAGATTCT